GAACTGAAACGGACATCAGTGACCATCCGTATCAATTGAGTTTACAAACTACCAGCCACATTTGCGGTGCCTCCATCATTAGCAGTAAATGGGCCATCACCGCGGGACACTGTGTCGGGTAATAACACATGCGCGCATTGATCTTTAAACTTATTTACAAATTTTTACTTCTGACGAAGTTAATTTAAACGATTCCAGTTACGATATTTTAATGAATAGTAGGTTCGTTTAAACTAATGTCTCACGACGAATTTATTTTAGTAAATCACACATGTGGAAAAAATCGTATAGTATAATATGGTGAGCAAATTCTTGCTCGTCCAATTAATGCAGCAAGAACTAAAGGCAGTGTGTTTAATCTTTTGAACGATCGAATGCCTGAATGATAATAGTCATATTATGATCAGGCAAACGAAGTACACGCGTACTTAACAAGTTACCAAACTCAGTTTTCTCATAAATTGCATCCCGTATGAAAGAAGGTCATTATATATTTTTTTACTCTTTTCTGACATTTTGGGAAACAACCACAGAGATTGTGTTTCACCAAAGCAAAACACCACTGCTGTGTTACAAAAGGAATTCTTGAAATCGCTCGCATTTTCATGTTTCATTAATTACAGATCGGCCCCTAGTCGGTACACGCTGCGGTCCGGTAATAGTAACAACAATTTGGGTAACGCTTACACCATAAAGAACATTACTCGACACCCCAACTATAATTCGAGAACTGTCGATTATGACGTCGCCCTTCTCGAGGTGCGTGGAACTACTTTTACTCTCATAGCAATCAAATATACAGGGTGTCCCAGAACTCCTTTTACGCCCGAAAATGAGGAGGAGCTGAGGTGATTTTAAACAACTTTTTCCTTTGCGAAAAAGTTGTCCGAGGCGTGGTTATTGAGTTATTAACAAAAATCCCCGCCCAATCAGTGCGCGAGTATACAAGGCGGGCAGGAGCGCGATAACCGCCTCGCGCGTTGCCGCGCCCGTATGTCGCGCTCGTGACGAGAGCATAGGATTAAAGAAATGTTGCATGCAAAAACGAACTAACAAATTGGTTAAATATCAAAAGAAAGAAAGGGATTAGTCGTTACTTACGTTCACTGAACGAAAGTAACATACTGAATGAAATAACTAAGAAATTTACAAATTACAGAGTACGTAAAATTATGAAAAATGCGAAAAAAATCAGAATTGAACTTACTTCTTCGTTGGTCAGTGCATCTGCTCGTCGAAGATCGTCAATGGGTCAATGGGTCGACCTTCGGCATTCGAAGATAGGACACATGGCTCGCAGCAGCTGATGTTTGGAGTAAGTCAATGACCTGCACCCGACGATTTTTTCCTTATCATCACGATCATTGTCACTTTCCCACTGGCAAATTTTTACAAAACAAAAATTGTCACTTTTACACTTCCCAAATTCACTGCCACTTTTCATTTTACAAATCCACTGTCACATTGCACTTTGCAATTGAAAATTTGTATACACGTTTTCATTTTAATTCTTAGCTCCGATCGGAATACTGTTCGCGGAACAATTCCACTGCCGCTCTCGGATTCTAACTCATTTACGCGTAAATAACGAACATATTAAAATATTCCGTGTTCGTTAAGGCACGCACCGTTCTGTTTAGTAACGCAAGGCGAAGCCAACTGATCGCTCGCTCGAAGATTTTCTTCCAGGAAAT